TGTTGAAATTTTAGGAAGTGTAAAGTTTTGAAAAAAAATATCTTAGGTTAGGAGAGTTTAAGAGACAAGTGTTATCTGTCTTGTAGAGTAGGCTTTCCCCTGTGAAAAAAATCTTTTCGACAAAAAAAAATGATTCTAGAGTCAGTGGGATTTCCCCCATTAGCAGACCTATTTTTATATTCGTACGAAGCAGGATTTATTCAAAAACTCCTACATGAGAAGAAAACACTTACTGTGGACTTCAACTCGACATTTAGATATATCGACGACGTATTATCAGTTAACAATTACTTCCATTCATATGTTGACTCGATATATCCCAGTGAAATAAAAGATACCACAGTCTGACACATCTGTTTCATATTTGGATATTTTACTAGAAAAAGATGTTAATGGTAAACTAACAACAAAACTTTATAATTAATAAACATGAAGACTTCAATTTTCTATCGTCACCTTCCCTTAATTATGTAGCAATATATCCTTATCACCTGTATATGGAGTCTCCCAGAGCATGCTCTACATGTATACGAACAATTTCTAAAATGAGGCAAGCTATTGACAAGCATGTTGATGAAACAAGGATATCAACAGTCTCGTTTGAAGTCATTTTGCAAGATCTATGGTCGATACAATGACCTTGTCAGCAAATGCAATCTATCATTAAGTCGAATGCTGACTGACGTTTTTCATATTAATTGTTAGGCCATTATTTACTCACTGAATTGACTACGAATTTCTGTCCGTTTGCCGATCATGACAAGGAGAACAGGGTTGGTGTGACAGGGATGCTCTCCTCCGTGGTACCTGATCCCACCTCTGATGATTTCAGAGGTCCGTGTTTGCTCTGCTCCCGATCTGTATTGTTTCAATAGACCTTTTAGATTTATTAGTATTCGTTATCTCCATATTTCATTAAAACAGTTCAGCAGAAATTTATCTCATGTGTCAGATATCGGAGATGAACTTCACATTTATTTCACAGGCAGTTGCGAGTGACATCCCTGACCCATGCATACCACCATTCAAGACCTTCACTTTTGACTCAAAAGTGTTCTGGAAAGTTAAGTTTATCCAGAGTATAACTTTTTTTTTTATCAGGTATGGCCGATTCCCGTGTAAGGAAGTCAAGACTAATTCTAGTAACTTGAATTAAAATAATTTATACTCCATACTCAAGCTCTTGGGTTTTCTGATCAATCGGAAACTTTGACAAGAAAAATACTCCTTCCTCTCCTAAATGTATTCACAGGACTCATTTGGAAATGACTAATACACTGGAATTGTAACGCATATTTGACAATCTATGTTAAACAAACATGGCTAGAAGCTCTTTTGATAAAAATGTAATGGTTTTGAAATCTAATACTATAATCACGATTGAAAACCTACTAGATATACCTTCGGTTAATACACAAACAACAGACTGTACATGATAGTGCAGTTACGTCACAGCACTGATTTCCAGGCTTCAAAAATCTCAAACTTCAAACTCATTTTCCTTTCTCCTTTTTAGTTTTAAGTTCAAATACATAAATTACAAACATTGTGTTTTCAGATTTGAGGGTAAGTTATTCAGCATGCCAGAAAACTCTAAATAATCACCTGTTTTACTCTTAATTCAGGTATACTTAATTCTTAATTTAGGTATACTTAATTCTTAATTCAGGTATACTTAATTCTTAATTTAGGTATACTTAATTCTTAATTCAGGTATACTTAATTCTTAATTCAGGTATACTTAATTATGGTTAGATGCAAGTCTTTGAAGAGCTTGAATGGCAAAACTAACAAAGTTTAAGAAGCTAGGGCCCATTTTATAAAAGAACTTACAACTAAGACAAATATCTAATTCGCTAAATCAAATTATGTTTAAAATATGCTACATAAAAATGTATTATTAGTATGTAATGCAGTGATAATTTATACCGGTATAATGTCATTGTTTTATGCAAGATTTCAGATTTTTATTTTAAATTACAAGACTCTAAAGAAATAATATGGTCACTTCAAATATATAGCCAGGAAAAATTAAGTCATATGTTCAAGCTTTAACAAGTTTTTTATGCTCCCGTAATCGAAGATTCGGGGTTTTGTTTGTTTGTTGCCCTTTCTGTGTCTCTCTGTTTGTCCGCAAAAACTTAACCTATTTCACATGTGTATTCCTTGTGACAAGACCTATTTTTGGGTTCCCATATATTTTACCTCTTGACCTTAAAGTTTGACCAACTTTTATAAAATTTTACGAACTTTTAACCTTGGCAATAACTTTTGAACGATTGGTGCTAGGACTATCATAATTTATACGTGTATTCCTTGTGAGAAGACCCTTTCCTTGGGTACAAATATTTTTACCTTGACCTTGGAATTTGATCCACTTTTGAAAAACTTAAACCTTGGCCATTACTTTTGAGTGAACGGCGCTAGGGCTTTCATATTTCACAGGTGAATTCCTTGTGACCAGACCTTTCCTTGGGTACCAACAATGTTGACCCTTTGACCTTGGAGTTTGACTTACTTTTAAAAAACTTATCCTTGGCCATTACTTTTGAACGGTTGGTGCTAGGGCTTTCATATTTCACGTGTATTTCTTGTGACAAGACCTTCCCTTGGATACCAACAGTTTTAACCTTGGTCTTTGACCTTGGAGTTTGACCTACTTTTGAAAAAAAAAAACTTTAACCTTTGCCAAGACTTTTGAATGACTGGTGCTAGGGCTTTCAGATTTCACATGTGAATATTTTGTGACAAGACCTTGCATTAGGCACCATTAATTTTGACCATTTGACCTTGATCTTTGACCTAATGTGCAATCAATTATTTTTGTGGGGGTTTATTTTCAACGTTTTTGTGGTATGAAAAGACTCATTCATATCCCCGAGAAATATAAAAATCCTATATTGCAGCATGTTTCTCCCTTATCCTCAAAATCAAATCCCCTCTAACCAGTCATTTTTCCCCAAACAACGAAAATTTGACCCCAAGAAAATAACTGATTTTACAGCACATTTAAAAAACATTAACCTTCGCCAAAACTTTTCTATGGTTGGTGCTAGGGCATTCCTATTTCACAGGTTTATTCATTGAGACAAGACCTTTCTTTGGGTACCAACATTTTTGATTTCTTGACCTTGGAGTTTGACATTTGAGAAACATTATCCTTTGCCATGAGCTGCCATACGGGGCATCAGTGATTCACAAACACATCTTGTTTTCCTTCTGTTTTGACAAATAAAAATATTGAAATAAAAGTTGAATAATTAAAAATAAATAAAGTTTTGTTTTAAATGCACATATTCATAATATTGCATTTTCAACAGTGAAATACTGTAATTTACCGGTATCTATTATTTTCACAATGAAAATCACAGGCACTTATTTTTGTCACAGGCATTGGAAGTTAATGTAAATATTGAGTATGTACATGTATAAAAATAGAAGGATCAATATTTACATTAACTTCCAGTTCAAAAAAATTATTGCAGGAACAAGTGTCTGTGATAAAAATAATGAAAGTGATAATTTCACTGTAAAAATAAATTTTGGGCAAAACTCTATTTACATGTACTTTCCCTTCACAAGGCATGTTAAAGAAAATACTTCCCATAATTACACTGTAGTGAGAGTGAATAACCATACATCCTGATACTGACTAAAACAGCCAGAGTTTCTCAAATTGTTGTTAAAAGTTTACAACTTTCAATCTCACAATCGCATAGCTATGATGTCTTAACCACTTAGCAGTATGACGTCACACCCTATACCACTGCATTAAAAAAACATAGGTAATCAAAGATTACGAAGCTCATCTCCACCAAATTGTTATCTGTAAGAAAGGCAAATCTCACATCATATTTTTTTTTCTAGTAAGTATACATCCAAAGATCAATATCCATGCAAGTTTAGTTTACTTAAGCAAGCCTGGAAGTTTTCATCCTTAGATGCACCATCTATGCAAGTTAAATCATAACAGGCCATAATATTATATAGCTACTCCAAAAACATTACCCTGGTCATTCATCTGGAAATGTAGCTACAGAACTGTAGCATTCTGGTTTTATATTTTAATCTTTGATCATAATGCTACAGATTCCATAATGCAAATATGGTGCAATTTACTTTGCATGTATTTTGCCACTTTCCAGCAATGGTCAATCAACTACCTTTCATTCCCCAATTCTAGACATATATTCTATAACCAATATATAATATATATTTTATCCATCTCCTAACCCTTTATAGTTGTCTCTACAGACCAATAAAACTTGCTTGTTAAGAATTTTATGCCATCCGACAACAATATAGAATATGTCTAGAATTGGGGAATGAAAGGTAGTTGATTGACCAATGCTGGAAAGTGGCAAAATACATCCCAAAGTGCGCAGAAAATCTTACACCGTATAAAATTGCACAACATTTGCATTAAGGAATCTGTAGCGTTACGGTCAAAGACTAAAATATAAAACCATAATGCTACAATTCTGCAGCTACTGGAAATGTAGGTCAGATTAAGAATGAAAAGCAAGTCTGGAAGTGTCCATTCCTGGATACATCATCCACGCTAATATGGTTAAAATATGTCTAAAATTCACTCATGTGGAAAATCTAGGTCAGATACAGTATCTGAAGCAGGTTAGTTAGTGAACATCCCTAGATGAATCATCCATGAAAGTTTGGTCCAGGTAGGGCTTATAGTTACTTGGGAATGGACCTGCTCCAAAAACTTTAACCTGGTCAGTTATCTGGAAAATCTAAGTCAGATCCAGCATCCGAAGCAAGTGTGGTAGTGTCCATCCCTATATGCATCATCCATGCAAGTTTGGTCCAGGTTGGGTTTATAGTTACTTGGGAATGGACCTACTCCAAAAACACTAATGCCAACGCCTGGGGTATAGCATAAGCTTATCTCGACTTCATAGAGATGAGCTAAAACGCTTATATTCGATAATAAGCAGAAAATTCAACATTTTGTAGTTGGATAGAGAATTTATTTCATTCTTTAAACAGGATTTTTTTTATACTTTCACAAGTGCAAAGCATGAGGATTTTGACCTAGTGGTTCTTGAGATTTTTTACCATATACATGGGGTGATCAAAAAGTTCGCGAACTAACTCTATATTCACAAAACCACAATTCAGATCAAAAAGAAACTTTTGCGAACTTTTTGATCACCCCTTGTATGTCAAAAAATTAGAAACTTTATCATCGATTCAGCAATTATAAACTCATATAATATGTCATAAGCCCCAGTTCCCCCTTCTTTTGAATGTCTTCATACAAGAAACTAGGTTCTTCCCTGGCAGATCTTTCACCTGTCACCTCCAGGGTTTGGTCACAACACCTGATGATACACTTTATAAAATCCATACTGCTTTTCTGGTGTTTTTTTAAAGGTATCTCTTCAATCATTCAGGGCTCAGTTGGTAGAGTGCTTGCTCAATGATTGAAAGGCCAAGGGTTCAAATCTGGGCCACTACTGACCTAAGTCAATAAAAAATAGGTAGCAACTGTTCCTTCTGTTGTGTGTAAAACATTCCTGTTAACTTATTAGCCGAGGCTACTCAAACATTTTTTGCTTTTTATTATTTTGGCTGCGTTTATGTAGAATATAATTTGCTTTTTTGGAGCAATTTGAGAAACTGCAGCACCAGGAAACCATTATTTGGATCTTGGATCTTTATCTAAATCCAAAAACAAATCATCACTAATGTCCAAAAGAATTCTAAGCTCTTGACTCAAATCCAAAAGAAACCAAGACAAGACTGGCTTCATACATTGATGAAGAGGTTTTGAATGAGCACAAATGAATTTAATTGTGTTTGAAAACTGTTTATTGTGGACCTCATCTGACCTGTTACTGACAAGTATATATATCCCTGAGGGTATAATTATCACATCTGGGCCTGTACAGAATTGCACCAGTCATTATTCAATCATCATTGTTTAATTATCAGAGTTTTGCTGCTGTGATCATTTAAAAATCACAGGTAAGACAAATCAAACATGGATGAATACAGGTCACCCTAAGTACTAAACTGATTTGTGGAAAAGCAATGTCGTACTCACATAAAAGCAAATTAAGGATTTTGAAAATATTGCTGAAAACCAGGACAACCGCAGCACCAAATATAAATGGCAGAAAATGCAACTGACTTGACCAAGATTTGAACCAGGGTCCCCTAAACTCCAGACAGATGCGCTACCTACTGAATTATCTGGCTACCAGTAAATTAACATATCTAACCACAATATCATATAAATGAGGCCAAGAAATACATCTCACAATCATTGTAAACAGCAAAATTCTGCAAATTTCCATAAGACCTATATGCCATACATATTGACCCCCAGATCATCAAGATTTGGCATATTGCCAAAACTTGATTCTTGAAGTTTTGCCTTGTACATGGGATGTTGAAATTCCCAAGTATCAAACATAGGAAACTGCTTTTCCACAAGGATATCCGTCTCTGTGAGTCCTTGGTGGCTTGTCTCCACAAGTGCTTTTTGGTTCCCTTTTTTCAACACTCCCCCATTTTCCTCAAAAATCCCTCCCTGGCTATATTCCTGAAAACTCTGGCTTGCATCCGATGTTCTTCTGACTTTTGATACTGTTTCATTGTTCCGATTCTGTAACGTTCTCTTCAGCCTTTTCTTAATGAGCCGCCTTCTGTAAGTTTCATTCTCTGACATTATTTCTTTTGCTGACATCATCTCATCAGTCATGCGATTCTTTGTTGATGTCTTGGGTATCTATTAAAAATTTGTTGAGTAAAATTTTTAATTGCAAAATTGCAATCAATAATCAAACAATATACAATTTAAACATTGGTATCTCAAACACGGATACATGTATCTTGAATACCATGGACAAGTCAAAGGATATTTAAGTCCAAAGTACTTATTCTTTAAGTATTTTACCCTGGAAATCTCGAAATTTTTTCTTGGCTTATCAAGTTTGAGATAACAAGGTTTGACTGTATGTAACGGTATATTTCATATACAGACAATCATTTTTTGATATCCATGAATTCTAAAATATTTTTCAAAATTATTTGAAGGCATCTTTTATTGTTTTTTATGCCCCCATATCGAAGATTCGGGGTATATAATTTTTGCCCTGTCCATCCGTCTGTCTGTCTGTTTGTCCGCAAAAACTTTAACCTCGCCCATATCTTTTGATTGGTTGGAGCTATGGCTTTCATATTTCACATGTGTATTTCTTGTGACAAGACCTTTCTTTGGGTACCATCATATTTGACCTTTTGACCTTGGACTTTGACCCAGTTTTGCAAAATTTTACTGAATTTTAACCTTGGCCATAACTTTTGAACACTTGGTGCTAGAGCTTTCATACTTCACATGTGTAATCCTTGTGACAAGACCTTCCTTTAGATACCAACAACTTTGACCTTTTGACCTTGACCTTGGGGTTTGACCTACTTTTGAAAAACTTTAACCTTGGCCATAACTTTTGAATGGTTGTTGCTAGGGCTTTCATACTTCACATATATAATCCTTGTGACAAGACCTTCCTTTGGATACCAACAACTTTGACCCTTTGACCTTGGAGTTTGACCTACTTTTAAAATCTTTAACCTTGGCCTTAACTTTTGAATGGTTGTTGCTAGGGCTTTCATACTTCACATATGTAATCCTTGTGACAAGACCTTCCTTTGTATACCAACAACTTTGACCCTTTGACCTTGACCTTGGAGTTTGACCTACTTTTAAAAAACTTTAACCTTGGCCATTACATGTGAATATTTAGTTCTAGGGCTTTTACATTTCATGAACATGTGTATCACTTTAACAAGATCTTCCCTTGGGGCCCCATTTGACCATGACCTTGACGTTTTATTTACTTTTTAAAAACTTTAACCTTCACCATAACTTTTGAACAGTTGGTGCTAGGGCTTTCAAATTTCACAGGTATATTCCTCGAGACAAGACCTTCCTTTGGGTACCAACATTTCTGATCTCTGACCTGGAATTTGACTTGCATTTGAGAAACTTTAACCTTCGCCATAATCTGCCATACAGGGGCATCAGTGTTTCACAAACACATCTTGTTTCCTATACATTCGTAAGTAAAACTTTCATCCCTCTATTGTGTCACCATCTTACCCACAAGACCATGATTTGAACATCACCTGACTCTGCACTACTTGAAGATGCTTGGATATTAATATATATTAATATCACAAATTATGACTCTACTGTTCTTTGAAAGTTTTTTTTTCTATATCCTATCTTATCCTAGTGGTCATCAGCCATTAAATGCTTCCAGAAATACATCTCTCTCATGCTGGTTCTACTACCCATCCTGTCACCTACCTTATCAGTTCTGACACAAGGTAAACCTGTCAAGAACTTGGTATGATTCTGTGCAAAGAGCTATATGTGGTAGGATCTATATGCATATTTTTGCTCCCATTGAAGTCAATTTTTTAAAAATTTCTTGAAATATGCTGAATTGTATAACTAATTGTATGAAAAATCTGAGTTAGCAAAAAATATTATAGTTTTAAAGTAGGTTATTGGCAATTTTTGTTTCTATGACGTCACATACTATTTCCAATTTTTCAGAAAGAGAACAAAATTTATTCTATTTTTACCATATAACTTATAGAGCGCAAACCTGCTCTATAACAATATTCACATATTTCATTGATTTTATCATTCTACACATTATATCAAAACATTGAGTTGGAACAGACCTGCTCTCGGTGACTTTTACTCAAAATATCAATGCAATTAATATACACCTTTTTCTCTATAAATCATGGAAATTTTGAATTTACGTCATTTTCCTGACATCATATCTAACATATGGTATCATGGCTGATGAAAATATTTAATGATTTTAAGTCTGCAGATATCCCCCTGGTTTAGAACATAATTATAGGTTTTTCTGTCAAAGTTTGATCTACGGGGCAAATATCGGTCATTACCAAATAGAGTCCTTTCCAAAAAGACATGCTGATTCTACTATCCATCCTTCAACCTACCTCATCAGTGCAGACACAAGGTAAATCTGACAAGAACTTGGTATGATTCTGTGCAAATTTCTCCAAATCTTCTTCTGTCCCATGGATAATACCAATGCTATATGAAATATAAAATAATACACTGTAGAAATATGACTGAATATTTCATACACAGATATAGACGTGTATAAAAAGCCAGAAACAGTTAAATATCTTTATTCTTTACTTATACCAGTACCTGATAAAGACTCCATTACTGTTCTTCCTTAATAAGCATGTGTTCATTATGACTACATTCAAATGTTAAATTATAAATATCATCAATTCTAATACACCTCTAACCACTTTCACTAGCACTTCATGCCAATGCGTAATTTTGCCCATTTAATCCTCCAAGTTAACTTACTCAGTATTATCTGCTCCTGTGTCAAAACCCATCTGGTCCTTTCTTAGTTTGATCCCTGTAAGTAAATCACCAGAGACCATATTATTCTCCATTAGGCTGGTGTCCATTGGTAAGTTCTCATGAGTCACTTCCTTGGCATTAGCTGTTTTGGTGTCATACCCCATCCTATTTATCAGCTCTGTGTCTATTTGTAAACCTCCACAGCCTTCTGCCTTATTAACAGATGTGTCAGTGTGACAGCCCATCTCGATTTTCATCCGTTTAGTGTCTTTTAATACATTTTGCTGGGTCACTTTCTCAAAATCAGCTGCTCTAGTTGTTCCAGTTCCATGGGTCATCTGGTTCTTCATTAGTTTAGTGTCTTTTTGTAAGTGTTGTTGGCTCACCTCCTTGGAATCATCTGTTCCAATGACAAATTCACACAACTTCAGCAGCTCTGGGTCAAGTGAATTACGACAGGTAACTGCACCACTAGCAGCTGTTCCAATGCCATGACTTTTCTGGTTCTTCATAAGTTCATTGTCTTTTAATAATTCCCCAGAGGTTTCTTTCTTAGCATTAACTGTTCCAGTGTCACACTCAATCAAATCCTTCATCACCTCAACATCTATCAGTAAGTCGCCACAGGTCATTTCATTGAAAGCCATTGTTCCACTGTCATGCACCATTTGCTCCTTTGAATTTTCTTGGCCCAAATCGGATTCTAATTCAATAACATCAAATAAGGAGGATAAGCATGTCTTGTTCTGGTAACTATTATCTTTAATACACTGATCTTTGCCACAGACACCCTCTAGGTTGCATGGCTTACTTTGTGGATTTCCTTGATAGAGGCTGCCCTGGTTCCCTTCTATTTTCTCTTGATTCGTCATGGATTGGATTTCTGTTGGCTGGATATTTGGAGCAAGATCCGGGACCTGATCAAATGTGGCATGAATTTGTGTTGCACTTGGCATTGGCATCCTCCAATCCAAGTTTGATTTTTTGTCATAGTCTTCAAATAATTGTAAACAAAGTTCTATGATTTCATCTGTTGAATATGGACCTTCCTGTGTCTCATTTTCTTTCTCATGTTTTCTTGGTTTCTCTGTCAGGTCTGTCTCTTGTAAACCTGGAAAATCCTCATTACTTCTTGGTGCCATGGTCTTTTTACCACCATGTGCTTTAGCAGTCCCAATACAGAAGGTGCCTGATTTTTTCAAATCATATGTATCTAGGGTATTCAGAAAGCCTCCGGATTGAAGCTGTACAGCATCTTAAAAACACAGACATCCAACAGTAATGAAACATCAACATACATTAATTATCATTGAATTAATTTACATAATTTATATTCAGGGTTCTCAATGATTTGAAATTTTATAATGGCTCAAAGTGCATTAACAGCATTTTTGGAGATCAAAGATATTTTGTAGAAATGACAGACAAAAGCAAATGTTAGGGTAAACATACACATTTCAATTCATATTGAATTTTTATTTATTTTTTCATGAATAATTATCCCGTCTTCCACCCAGCCCCTAATATTACAGTGTCATGGGGAAATTTTACTTGGTGCTTGAACACAGGAAAAAGCTCAAGGAGAACCCTGATATATCCTTTTCTTTTATAAACAGTGCCATATTCCCTTATTTTGGCATCATTTTTAAAATATATCAATTATTCTGAAATCATTGCAAATTCTATTCTATTACATGTATCTCTATTAATATTTCTTTAAGTCAAGCTGAATTCTTTTCATCTTGCACTAATTGCTACCATTAAGGTTCATTGATACTCTGATAAGAGAGGTAACTCTTAATAACATAAATGTCTATTATTCCTTCATAATTAGCCTACCCGGGTAGTTGAAATGTCTTTTTTGTCCAATTTTGCCCTGCAAGCTATGCTATCATTCTTTAAGTTAGTATTTTATTCATAATATACATTTCTTTTGAAAAATTATAAGAGTTAAAGCAACATTTTTTATGAGTGAGCAGAGGGTTTATGAACCTTAAAATAGTTGTTCTGCAAAATGGCTGTATCAAACTAACTTAAAAATGTAGGTAATCAGAAATTACAGAGCTCATCTCAACGAATGTTGTCTTTAAGTAAGGCAAAGTACCACACTAAACTAATAATGTAGTAGTGTGCATCCATAGATGCAATATATATGCAATTTTGATCAGATAAGACTTGTTGTTACTTGGAATTGGTTTTATCTAAAAATGTAAACAACTCATTCATCCAGAAAATGTAAGTCAAATCCAGTATCTGAAAGTTTGAAAGTGTACATCCCTTGAAGCATCATCCATGCAAGTCTGATTCAAATAGGCCTTATAGTTCCTTTGTAATGGGCCTGCTCCGAAAACTTTAACCTGGTCACTAATCTGTAAAATGTAGGTCAGATTTAGCATCCGAAGCAAGCCAAGTAGTTTGCATCCTTAGATGTATCATCCATGCAAAGATTGGTCATTATAGGGCTTAAAATTACTTGGAAATGAGACCTGCTTCAAAAACTTTAACCTGGTCACTCATTCAGAAAATTTAGGTCAGATGCCATTATTGAAAACATAATTTTAGAAAAATAAAACTTTTCTGTGAACATTGAAAATTGGAAAAAATATTGTCTCAGAGCAAGGGATTGTCCTTGCCTTGTATGCCCTCTTTCTTTTGAACATTATTTTTTTTATTTTCTGGCTTCTGTACATTTCAAGCAAATAACTTCAATAAATCTTACATAGAGAAAAAAAACAAGTGACAGATACACTGTAGCTGTAATATTGTCAGCCATTTTTATTAAAATGTTAACTGCATGACAATATTGACAGTGTTAATCACATAAATTTTGGATAACATAAGTTTTCTCTATCCACGTGTATTTCAATATTCAAAGTATGCTGTACTGCATTAAAGTATAGTTCAAAATTATTTCAAATTTAAAAATTAGTTTTAATATATATTATATCATTTAGAGAAACAGAATTTCAATAAATAGTTGCAGCATAAAACTACCTTGAGGTTGTATTCCAACTTTCTCCAATATTCCATCAAATTGTGATGTATTCGATTCCCCTGACAAAAAATGTCCTATGTTGCTGAATGGTGGATCGGGGTAGACAAACACCTTTTTCTCTCGTGAAACCTTTCTATGCGAAGCCTCCACATTACCTGTCATTGGTGGTGGTCCAATGTTCTTTACTGTTGCATAGAAACTCATTTTAAAACTGTAAAAATTAAAAACAAAATTGTTACTTTAACACTACAGTACCAGTAATTAAACTTCAATTGAACTCTTGTTCTGAATGAAAATCTGATATAAGATTTTTTCAACACCTAAGTAACTTTGACCCAGCATTTTTTTTTTTAATTTCCCTCTTTCATTTCATAAATATTTAGATTCCATGTGTGGGATCAAAATCTAGATCTAAAGGAGTTACGATTTATTCAAAGTTAAATCAATGCAACCTTGGGATGCTTCCATATCAATATGATCAACATGGTCCTGCTGTCGGAGTGTTTTGGAGAAGATTTTTCTCTGAACACATGCACTATGTTATACTTGGATCCCTGGAGGGGCCCGTTTTACAAAAGAACTTACGACTAAAACCAAAATTTAATTCTGCTGATAACTTTCTTATTTACATTAAATTGAAAACAATTTCTATCTTTTTAAAAGGAATGTAAAAAGATATTTTTACCCAGCAATTTTAAACAGAATCATTAATTTTGCAAATTTTTTTTGTTCTTATATAGTCATAAGTTCTTTTGTAAAACAGGCCCCAGATTTTTGCTCAACTTTAAACCCAGTGCTCATAATTTTTTTTAATCTACTCTAAACATCTAAACTACTTGAGGATGCTTGCATATCAATATGCCTTATCATGACATTGTTGTTCATCAGAGAAATTTTTTAAAAAGATTTTTCCTATATATTCCGATGTAAAACTTTGATCGCCTAATGTGGCCTTACCCTAGCCCTATAGGGGTCATGATTTGATTTTGAACAAACTTGAATCTACCCTACCTGAGGAGACTTCCATATAAAGATGACTAGTCATAGCTTTACTGTTCTAGAGAATATTTTTAAAGATTTTTTTCCTATAAATTCCCAAGTAAAACCTTGATCTACTATTGTGGCTGCCCTACCCCAGTGGGTCTTGATTTGAATAAACATGAATTTACACTACCTGAGGATGCTTCTATATAAATATGAATAATCATGGATTTGATCTCCTGTTGTGGCCTTGCCTTAGCTCCATGGGTCATGATTTGAACAAATTCGAATCTACACTACTAGTAAGTAATGAAACTTAGTTTAATTAACATAAGTTTTATCTTTTCAGGCCCAGTGGTTTTTGAGAACTGTAGAAATGTTGCATTTCTGTGGAATTCAAATTGAATGAAAATATTTGACAAACTTATCTATTTTATGCAATTTAAATATAGATAAACATAACCATTGTATTTTCATTTTAAATGAATAAAACTGCATGCCATACTGGCATCTCAAGATCACGCCTTGAGACACTTTAGCAATCAAATCCCCCAAGTTAATTTGTTTACACAGGGAATTGATGTCTACATATATATTGTCATCACCTCATAAATGGAACCATTAAAACACAGGTTGGAAGTTTAAAACGAAGATAACACATGGTATAAACTGCTTTTAATATGATTTTACTGTTTTCAGTGAACTAAGTGGAAAATGCAAATCTGCCAAAATATGACCTTTTGGAAATAAATAAGTCAACAGTATCTACCTTTGTAAGAGGGTGTAGCTCTTAATTTGAACAGGTCTTTTTTCTTTTAGGAAGTCTTTATACATATGTATCCATGTGAATGTCTTTAATGGTTTAATTGGCTGTAGGTGAGGTGGGGGTGGGGGTGGGGTGGGATACTGTCTGCATAAACTTGAATTTAAATAGCATGAAAATGCTTGCATTGAGAATCAAAATCAGCAAGCATCAGGCATTTTGTGAAAAAGTAGCAAAAAATTAACTTTGGTTAAAACTCTTTTAAAAAAATTTCGGAAGGGTATAATAAAAACAAGAGGTCAAAGGGATTTAATGGTCACTGGAGTAATTAATACAACACTGTAAAGAATCCATAGATGTATAAAATAAAATATATAAACTGAAAGATGAAGATATCTTGCCCAAAAGCAAGATAAATAGGATGATCAGGGATCAATAAAATAATTTGTCTAGTACTCCATAACAAATCTTAAAGTAGATATATTTACTTGCATGTACCTGTCCCTATATGTCACAATCACCATGTAAACTAACAAAAAAAAATAGTGCTTGAGCATGATTAATAAACACAACTTATTCCCCTCAACTTCCCTTGGCCTTTGAAGAACATTTAATGTACATTAAGCTAAGGCATTTTGTCTCATTTTTGTTTATCTATAATTATTCACAGGTCTCCATGATCCTTAAAAACTATGAGAGTGCTTTTTATAGATTATAATAATTCTTGTATAAATTTCTTATTCAATTGACCTTTCAATTACATTATTTATGGTGATTAATTATCATAGATGAATAGCAAGGGGAAAGAGCTTCTCTTAGTAAAATACAAATTAATAAAGTCCTGCCAAGCACCAGAACACTTGACTGAGTGGTCCAGAATTTCACAAATGTGATAAAAATACCCTTTGCATCCTTGATGCCCAGGAGCAGAGCAGAAGATTTTCAAAGAAATAATGCATTTTCAATGTATACATTTAACAAGGTGCCACCCTAACACAAGAATCCTTGACACAGAGGTCATGAAATTCAGTGTTTTGGGAGAAGCACACTTGCTCACCATAACTATGCACCTAGTTTATCTGCTAAATACCTAGAGGCAGAAAAGATTTTCAAAGAACTAATACATTTTCACAATATACTCAAAACTAATCAGATTGCAGATAGCTTCACATCTCCCCATCTCCCCAAATCTGTAGGAAGCAATTTCAGTGTGTGTGTGTGTGTGGGGGGGGGGGGGGCACAGCCATACATTTTCAGTTGAGGGGGCACTACGTACCAAAAAAAAAAGGTCATCAGACCTTTTTAGTAGGGATGTCAATTTTGTCAATAATTCATAGTCGAATATTCAATGAAAGTATTCGAATATATTCGAATATTCGATAAAATAAATAAAATCTGGTTTATTTCAAATGTACTCATCATACTCTCATGGCAGGTTTTGCATCGGTACATGTATTTGGAAGTAAAACTGGATGTAGACTTTAATTTGTAGGTATACAGCAAGGAATTCTACATATATTTGTCAATGTTTAAAATAAATAATTGATTTAAGTGTATACAACCGAAATATTATTTTAACAAATGATTTCTATACAAGCTCAAACTGACGAACCAGTTGTCTAACCAGGGGCAAGATTGTCGTTTACTCTTCAGATTTAAATACACATAATTAATTACAATTATCTACTTAATAAGAGATATAATCTTCGATATAATGATTTGAAAATAAATTCAAAATATAAACAAAAACTTCCATGGACAATTTTCCTAGGTCATTAAATTCCTGATAATGCTTTTAAAATTTAGGAATGTATTCAACCTGAAATTATCAAGTAATTGATGCACTATTCTAAAACTGAACCCTTTACAATATTACAGACTGACATCAAAGATGTATTTCGATGATCAATAAAATTTGTTCTCATAACTACACTCTTAGACATTCAAGAAAGGTTTCATTTCGTTATCCTCGATTCTAGATCCGATCATATTACACTATTGAAAGTACTTCTTTTTTTTTTAAAAAATATATAATTTGTGTTTATTTCTTTTATACCTTACTCAAAATGAAATAATTTAGAATATCTATATTAAAGATAAGAAAGTAGTGAAAGAAATCGGGGGATCGCTATATTAAGTATAACGGGGATAATTCCAGCACTGTTCTAACTAAAATTCAGTATCTCAATTTTGTGAAATCTGAAAAATACCGAATATTCGAATCTTAAATTCATATTCGAATATTAACTCATCGAATGAATATTCGAATGTTCGAATATTCGTTGACATCCCTAGTTTTTAGTAAGGGGGCACTAGGGGGCATTTGCAGATATAGTATCTAAGTTTACTACAGTAATCTATATATCTGCAAAATTATTGGGGGGCATGTCCCCCCCCCCCCCCCCGGTTCCTACAGCCATGAATCTGTAGAGGTTCAGAGAAGTAGCAGACAGCTGAACATCATACTGACACATTCTACCAGTTACTAGGAAACATCCTACTCTGACCATTACATATCCCAGTTAAAAAAAATTATTTGTTTTCAGAATTCCAAAACTTAATATTATTATAAATCCATGTTACATTAAAACACTGTAAAGAGTTGAACAATACTACATGTTACAACTGAAATAAAAAAACAAACAAACGAAGAAACACCAAAAAAAAAAGGCAGAAGAAGATACTTAAAAAAAGATTAATACTACCTTAAAATCAATATACCAATGATATCAAACTCAATAATTTCCGCTAAATGGTTAATACTTTATCAAACAGTTCTCAGAACTTTTCAAATGCCCCTCGTACTATATGTAAGTCTTCAATTATAAGGTGGATATGGTAAAATATTTAAAAAGTCTCTTATAAATAGATGTTTTAACTTCCTTCTTATAATTACCTCATACACTATCGTAAAAGACAGCTCATATAATTTCCAATGTCCTGGTTTGTTTGTGCCTAGATTTTCATGATAATGTTTTTCACACAGGCACCTGACGTTACTTATTTTCCTTTTAATAAAAAAAAATATATACCCCTTACCTAATATTACACAGAATTATTAGGTAGGGGGTATATTTTTATATCAAAAGAAAAATAAGTAACGTCAGGTGCCTGTGGTTTTTCATTATGTCTTCATGGAAATTATCTACATACTGAGATTTAAAATCTCTAGTACCATTTCAAATTTTTTTTCTAAATTATTACTAAGACTATCTTTAAACAAGATGTGTTTCTGAAACACTGATGCCCCCGTATGGCAGCTTATGGCGAAGGTTAAAGTTTCTCAAATGGAAGTCAAAATCCAGGCCAAAAGATAAACAAGAGGCCCATGGGCCACATCGCTCACCTAAGCACATTGGCTAGGAAAAAGCACAAATCACTTCAGTATTGAAAAGTTTAAAGGGGGGGCGGGCTTGGATTTTGAACTACTTGACGATGCTTCCTTATCAATATAACAAATG